GTCGTTCTGTTTATAAACATGAATATGAGCAGCCAAGACCCGTCCAAGCCTTGATATTTGATAAGCTGAACTCATTTATATTGCAAGATGGACATACCGTTTACAAAATTTGAGAGATATGCTCATTAGTTATGTTTTCTAATTAATGTAGATAATAAGTTATGATTTCACCAACTTGATACCATATAATTTTTGTCAATTCTATTGTTATTGGTCACATAATCAACATTTTTGACTTTCTTAAGTTAGGAGGTCAATGCTCAAGATCGTTGCAGTGGAAAATAAGCAAAATATTGGAGAAATCTACAGAACGACGCAAGTGTCATTAAACGTCACGTGTGCCGTTCTGTTGATAAATACGAGTATGAGCAGCCACTATCCTTTCGAGCTGCGATATTCAATAAATTGAACTCATTTATGTTGTAGATGGACGTGTCGCTTACACAATTTGAAAGATACGCTCATTAATTATATTTTCTAACGAATGTAGATCACTTGCGATGTCACCCACTCAATATCATACAATCTGTGTCAATTCTATCGATCATTTGTCACATAACTAATATTTTTGACTTTTTTAAGTTAGAGGGTCCAATGCTCAAGGGTTGTAGTGGAAAAGAAACAAAAATATTGTAGAAATTAACAAAATGGCACAAGTGCCGTTAAACGTCACGTGTGCTATTCTGTCGATAAATATGAGTATTAACAGCCATGACTCGTCCGAACCCCAATATTCGGCAAGTTGAACTCATTTATGTTGCAAGATGGACGTGTTGTTTACACAATTTGAGAGATACGCTCGTTAATTATATTTTATAACGAATGTAGATCATGACTTGCGATGTTAATCTTTGTCAATTCTATCGATATTTGTTACATAACTAATATTTTTTACTTTCTTAAGCTAGAAGGTCCAATGCTCAAGGACACTGCGGTAAAAAAAAAAAGCAAAATATTGTAGAAATCAATAGAACGGCACAAGTGTCATTAAATGTCATGTGTGTTGTTCTACCGATAAATATGAGTGTGAGCAACCACGACATGTCCGAGCTCCAATATTCGATAAGTTGAACTCATTTATACTGCAGGATGGAGTGCTGCTTACAAAATTTGAGAGACACGCTCATTAATTATGTAGATGATGACTTGTGATATCACACACTCAATATCATATAATATATTTCAATTCTATCAATATTTGTCATATAACTAATATTTTTGACTTTCTTAAGCTAGAGGGTCCAATGCTCAAGGTTGTTGCGGTCGAAAATTTAAAAAAATATTGAAAAAATCAACAGAACGGTATAAGTGTCATTAAACATCACGTGTGTCGTTTATCTATAAACACGAGTATGGGTAGTCACGACTCGTCTGTGCCTCAATATTCGATAAGTTGAACTCATTTATATTGCAAGATATATGTGTTATTTACAAAATTTAAGAGATATGCTCATTAATTTTATTTTCTAACAAATGTAGATCATGACTTGTGATGTCACCTATTCAATGTGATATAATTTATCTCACTTCTGTCAATATTTGTCACATAATTAACATTTCTGACTTTCTTAAATTAGGGGGTCCAATGGTTGAGGTTATTGCAGTGGAAAAAAACAAAATATTGGAGAAATCAACAGAACGACATAAATGTCGTTAAACGTAACTTGGATCGTTCTATCTATAAACACGAGTATGAGCAATCACGACCCGTCCGAGCCCCAATATTCAATAAGTTGAACTCATTTCTGTTGCAAAATAGATGTCGTTTTTAAAATTTAATGGATGTGCTCATTAATTTTATTTTCCAATGAACGTAGATAATGACCTGTGATGTCGCTCATTCAATATTATATAATTTATGTAAATTCTATCGATATTTGTCATATAACTAAATTTCTGACTTTCTTAAATTAGAGGATCCAATGCTCGAGGTCATTGAAGTGGAAAAGAAGCTAAATATTGGAGAAATCAATTAAGTGACATAAGTGTCATTAAACGTAACATCACATGTGTCATTCTATCTATAGATACGAATATGAGCATCCACGACCCTACCAAGCCCCGATTTGAATAAGTTAACATATTTAAGTTGTAAGATGGACATGTCATTTACAAAATTTAAGAGATATGATCATTACTTAATCAACATGAAAAAAGAGAACAGCACAAATGTCGTTACTATTATGAAATCAGCATAAGTGTCGTTACTATGTAAACACGATATGAATAATTGATGCCGTGCATATTTTAAAATTAATTGTTATTAAATAAATAATATTTAATTTTTGCACATCATTTCTATATTTTACATAGAAGATAACGTCTGTAGTGTCGTTCTACGCCACAAATAACGACTGGACTGTCGTTATCATCCAATAGTTGCGGACAGTACAAAATACACCAAATTTGAAAGTAAAATCAACTAAAACATCATTTTACATTATATTTAACAATAAAAGTACCAATGTACATGAGATTTCTAAAAAATACATTTCTTTTTTCTTCAAATATAATAGAGATTTCATGGTAGATAATATGGAAATCAAAATTCTTTTTCAAATGCTCAAAATATTAGAGAAGATGGGTAAAGAATATAATGAAAAAACATGATTTTAGGGCAGCAAGTACAGAGAAATCACGTTGATGCATTTTGGAGATGAATTGAGGAATTTGATTGGATTGAAAGGGACATTTGAGTCTTTTCCATGGTGAGGGTATTTTGGATATTTAATATTATTTGTTTATTGTATTTTGTAATTGACGGCCATTTGATCAACAATCATTGGAACAAGGTTATTTAATTAAATACAATGTTTGACTGGCCTATTTAACAAAATCCCCCTTTGTTTATTGTATTTTGTAATTGAAGGCTATTCACCAACAGACATTGAAATATGGTTATTTAACCAAATACATTGTTTGAATGAGCTTTTTAACAAACTCCCCCTTTAAGGGGAAGTTGGAAAAAGGAGGGAGGATTTCTCGGAATTGGTGTCTGTACTGCATTTATATTGAGGCGTTGTATCCCACCCGCCAACATAACGGCCCCCAATCTTTCCAAATTTTAATAGTTGGAATAATATTTTTTTGAAACATGTATAATTGGAAAAGAATGAGATTTTTTTTATTTGCGTGTAATATTATTTTATGGAAGATTGTGTAGCTGAAAATAAGAGAAAATTGTGTGGCTGAAAATGAGGAAGAGAAAAAGAATGAGAAGGATAATGGAAGCCAAACGGGCGCTATGTTGTGTACTACTGGCTCTAGT